AGAGCTTGAGACAACAGGTCACATTACAAGCAACAGTCAAGAACAGAGAAATGAATGTACTTGTGCTGCTTGTTTACTATTCAGCTGGCATGTTCTATTCTTGGACAGTTCAGGACCCTCTGTCTAGGGAGTGGTGTTGCCCACAACAGGCCAGGAGTGGGCTTCCCACACCAATTAACAATAAAGACGATCCCCCATAGACTTGTTCACAAGCCAATCTGATCTGGTAAATCTGTCAACGCACTTGAGACTCCCTTCTCAGATGACTCTAGTCGACATCAAGTTGACAGCAAAGTTAACTAGGATACCTCCATAACAGACTATCACCAGTGAGCTCACCTTGCCTGGCAGTCAGCATTGTACATGGGATCCACAGCTGAGTAAGACTGTTGATGACAATTCTCCCGGCGAAGCCTGCTTAGCACTTTCTGGTAATATTGGTACTAGGCAGGAAGCTTCCAGCCCAGTTCCAACTAGATTTCTCTATGTCCCATGTCCAAGGTGTATGGTGTCTTCAGCAATAGGGTCTTACCAATAAGTTCTAGTGGGAAAGTAATAACAGTGGCAATTGTCTATATTATTTTGGGGAACCTCAGAAACCTCCCTAAGTCAAGAACACTTAGGGAACTTGCCAATTTGTGACATTGGCATTTTCATTTAATAACCTGTGGCTCCTTGGAGCAGCTTTATAGTTTAATAATTACAAAAAAATTCTGATTAAATCACTATAGTTTCTGTCTCCTGACTGGCTCCAGAATGACATACCTCTGTTCCCCCAGGGCCAGTAGCTCTCCATGCACCACTTCCTCCCTCTCCAGGTAGCCCTGAGTAAATGATCTCTCATTAGCTCAAAAATCAAAGCATGGGGCTGGAGAGATGGCTCAGCGGTTAAGAGCACTGACTGTTCTTGAAGAGGACCTGGGTTCAATTCCCAGCACCCACATGGCAGCTATGAACCATCCTTAACTCCAGTTCCAGGGGAATCTGAAGCCCTCTTCTGACGTCCGGAGCATTGCATGACACGGGTGCACTCACATACATGCAGGCAATACACTCGTACACATAAAAAAAAAAATCAAAATCAAAGCATGGATCACGTGCACTCACATACATGCAGGCAATACACTCGTACACATAAAAAAAAAAAAAATCAAAATCAAAGCATGGATCATCACATCAACTGTTTGGATGTTAACTGATGCCATTTCTGGACTGTCTGGAATCCCTTTGGGTACAACTCTACCTGGTTTGATCATTATTTAAAGAACTGGAGAACTATTTCCAGTCAAATTAATTTTTACTTCCCCTAGCATTATAAAAGGGAGGATGATATGTAGTCTAGTCTCTACTAGCAAGGAATTAGCAGGGACTGATTTAGACAAACATGCTACTTTTGTCAGTGCCTAATAAGGATAGGAAAAGTGACATCCAGGCAGTGATAGTTAAATGTAAAGGCCGTGACTTCCACAATGTGAACTAAGTAAATATTCTATTTATTTTTATCCTAGGAAGTATGTCCTTGAAACCAGAAAAGGTAGAATAGGTATCTTCCTGAAAGAAGTAGAATCCAAAGTTAGTGAAAGGAGGGTTAAAAAACAACAACAAAACTCTCCAACTCTTCATTTTCCAGGCCTGTCCCTATTTTAGCCAATGTTTTATGTATGAGTTGGAGGAGGGAATTCCCATTAAAGCTGCCCTTAACAGGAAAGTAGGAGGGCGAGTTAGCCTGTTATTAGGATCTGGTGTAGTTTGTTTACTCAATCAACTCAGCCAAGCTACAACTGTACATCCCAGGATCTTCTCTAGAATCACCTACTGTGGGCTGTCCACTGGAGAACTTCATGGGAATTTTGGCAGGAGGGAACGAAGCAGCAGCTGCTCTCCTCTAGAGACCATCAGCAGTTACGGGCAGGAATTTTTTAAGTTAATTTTTTATTGAAATTTGCAATTTTAATACAATATGTTTTAATCCTATTTAGATCCCCTTCTGTATCTACACCCTTTTACTAACCTCCTACCAAATTTCTGTATGCTAATATATATGTACGCCTACAGAGTCAGGTTTGTGTCCCCAAATGCCCTTTGGTGTGGGTTCATCCACTTAACGTTTGCCCTCATTTTTTTATTCCCAGCATCCAATTCTCCTTCACAGCTGTGAGCCCTGCTGAACAGCAGAGAACCCAGGTCCAACATCAGAAGCTTTACTGCAAACTCAAAGGTGTAATATAAGTCTAAATCCCATAGTAAAGTCCTAACCACATATACTTAAGAGTTGTCCTACCACTCAAACAGAACCTTGATTCTGTTTAGGCTCAAATGGGTTGTATTTAACATTGATATGTAGGTATTGATACATTTGTTCCTGTATTTAGGCAATTTTAAGTTATAAAATGAATTTTTCTGTGCCCTCCAAATTTTCTTAGCAGATTCTTAGGTTGTAGATATTTTCCTAATGTACAAAAAGTTAGCAAGCAGGGCTAGAGAGATGGCTTAGTGGTTAAGAGTACTGGCTACTCTTGCAGGGGACCCAGGTTTGAGATGGAAATAGAAAATATTTTTTTAAATCTTTGAGTTAGGTCAAGATTTTATGCATAAGACGCCTCCACATAGATAAATTAGATTTTATCAAAATTTGAAACTTTTAGCAAGACATGGTTGTACCTGCTTATAACTCCTTTACTTGACAGCATGAGGAAGGAGGAGTTCAAGTTTGAGACCAGCCTGGACTACATAGTGAGACTCTATCTCAAAAGAACAAAACAACCCAACAAACGCATTAAAAAAAAAACAAAAAAAACCCAAACAATCCCCGCTTCTGCTCTTTAAAGGACAGTACTGAAGGAAAAGACCAGATCAACCAGACTTAAAGAAAATATTTCTAAATCATAAATATGATAAAGGACTTATGATCAGAATTTAGAAAGAACTCTCAAAATTCAATAGTGGAATGTGGGGGTTAGCAGAAGTTAATGGAGAAGAAAGACAACAGAAAAGTATAAAGCCACTTTGAAGGGTGACAACAATATTTACTATCTTGACTAAGGTCACAGCTTTACAAGTGTACATATGCATATAACTTTTCCAGGTTACTCACTTTAAAATGTTCTCTTTTTTTATGCCAATATACTCAGTAAAGATATTTTGAAAATCAACAGTTGGAGTACATGAAAACTTCTGTGAAAGTCCTTTCAACCATGAAAAAGAAAAATTCAAAATAATTAACAGTATCTGAGAATAGGTCACTTGGTTTTATTAGTGTAGTGCTGACATTTTAAAAATTTCTTCTTTATTAAAATGCACACACATAATAGTGGTTTGTCTATGTATGTTCGCCAGGCCTGGCTCTGATGCAATCTATTTCTTAAAGCCTTTTCACATCGCTGAAGTAGAACGTAATTGTTCTCTTTTGTGAATTGCTATAACTTATGCTAATTTGCAGATATTAAGTCAACACATTTATCTACCCACCTATTGCACATTTATTAAGTGCCTCATATGGGCTGGGCACAAGCTTGACATTAGATGTACAAAGGTGAGTAGGGAATAGTTCTTCCCTTCAGGAGCCTCAGAGTCTAATGACAAGAGTGATGAATTAATTAATTAGCTAAAGAGCAAACAAGTTACAGTAACACTAAAACAACCATTTCAAGAAACATTCAAAAAGCAGAGTGGGAATGGAGGGAGAAATTGAGTTTGTCAGACATGCTGTCTTGAACCCCAGTGGTTTGTTCAGGCTCTATCCGGTTAAGCTCCCGGAGAATCACAGCCCATGCTCACTCCAGTCATTACTAGATCACCTGAAAAGCACCTGGTGCATTTTACATGAGTACTTGTTTGAATGAATGGAAACAATTTCACAGGCATCTTTATCTAGAAGGTGGGACTATCATGCTGCCAATTCCATGGCTGAATTTCCACCCTTATCTACTTTGTCACCAAACACATGGCAATAATTTGAGAGACAAAAGTAAAATGTAAATCAAGTCTCCAAATTCTCACAGGGATGGCCATTCTCCCAGTGAAGCAAACAGGAAGAAGGGTGAGGTGGATCTCAGTCTTCAGAATCCAGAACAGAGGAATGACACCCAAAACTCAAAAGCCATGCCATGGCTCCCGGGAGAACCCTAGATTTTGTGCATTGTTGCTATCTGGTTTTCTCTTGGTGAGAGGAAAACGTGAGTGGCAGCCATTTGACTTCTGTAGGATCATACTTGTCTAATTCTGAAAGCACCTTTTGAGGATGTTAGTTCAGTTTGTTATAATAACATATCATAGCTGGGTGACTCATAACATTAAAATTTTACTTCTCATCATTCCAGAGGTTAGGAAGTTCAAGATCAAGAGAATGGCAGATTCGGTATTTGATGAAGGTTCACTTTTTGGCTCACAGACATGGGGCTTCTTTTATCAGGGTCCTAATCCCAAACATCTACCTCCACGATCCACCCCCTAATGCCATGATCTGGAGGGTTAGGATTTCCAGAGATGAATTTTGGAAGAACATAGACATTCAGACCATACATAGCACTGAAGTTACATTTTGGATCCTTTGCTTTTCTTCATGATCAAAACCTCCTCTCTATGCTTAGTTTCTAAAGATGAAGGAAAGTGGGAGAGACAGCAACTGGGAAATTGTAAGCATGGGGGATGAGATAACTCAGTTATATAACTTCTCATGATCAATATATATGCAATTACAGAATTCAAGTAGGACAAAAATCAGCACAAATTGAAGTCTCCAATGACAACAGGGAGATTTGGATTAAGTGCCAAGGAGAAATCCTTTATATCTCCCTCAGGGCAATTCATGACCAGAAAGACTGCTTTCGATCTTAAACATATCTACAAATCTACAGAAGCAATAGTCTACAGAAGGAACAGTCTCAGGAAAGGAAAGTTTATCTCAGTCCGTCTGTACCACCAGTCCAAGAGATGGCTCCAGGAGAAAGCAAGGATCCCTGGTGCTCAGCATCCTCCTGAGCACTGGGCTGGGCTCTTACCTGTAGATGGGGTCCTGCATCACCAGCATCTTGCTCTCATCCCACGTCCACTCCTTTTTCTGCAATAAAAGAAGCTGTAAATGAATAAGTTAGGCTTGTCCTTGGTGACAGAATCAGGGCACACATTGATTGCTACTAGTGCTTATGCAAACATATGCATTTTGCTCCTGGCTTTTCCCCTCCAAGATGCTCAGAGTTGATTGCCACAAAAGGGCAAGTGGAAAATGTCATGTGTCTGGTCTGATCAGTTTCCTCCAAGGAGAGTGTCTCTCCAGGCACAGATAGGCAAAAGCCAATAAACCCTCATGGGACCACAGGCAGACTCTAAATCAAAATTTCTTAGAGAAATTGCAAGGAAAAGAAGACCATATATCAATTCAGAGGAGTGCGAGGGGCGGAGTACAATAGAGAAGGGGGCACAGACAAGCCTTCAAGCTGTGGGGGATGCTGCCAAATGCACAGAAAATACAGCCCCATTGTCCCTTGGAAGGGGATGGGAACTTTTGCACTTACTCATAAAAGGATATTCAAGTTAGCTGTGTTCCTCATTTACTGTAAACACAGAGACACCCTCAGCAGCCACAGATGAGGGTAGGAATGGGGGTGAGAAAATTCAAACCACACGGACTGAAGTGAGCAGCCCTCCCAATACAGGGAGGAAAGTGCTCAGCAGCCAACAATATCCCCTCAGGCCTAACTCCCCCAGATGCAGGGACAGAGAATTCTGCTCCACCTTTCCTGTCTTTGTCATAGATACATAGAGAGTGCTGTCCAGAGAAACTGGGGAGGAATGCATTCACCTATAAAAGAGACTCAAAAGAGCTCGGAATGATGTATTATTGAACGACGACATTTATCGAGGTAGATTTCTCAAATAGGCACAGGGTGACTGGCCACTCTCAAAACATACCAGGGTTTTGGAAACTGTCCAGTGAAGGTCATGTCTAGACCCTTAAGAGTAACATGAGAAAGAAGCAACATTACCCAAACATTGCAACACACACACACACACACACACACACACACACACACACACACACACACACACACACACACACACACACACACACACACACACACACACTTTTAATTTTAAAACTTCTCTGTTTGAAGATTTCAAACTTGCATATAATGCATTTTGATCAAATCCATGCTCCCTTTCTCTCCCTTCTAATTCCTCCCCTAGTCTTCCCATCCCTTTCCCTCCTAACTTCATGTGCGCTTTTGTTCACTTAGTGCTGCCTGAATGCATGGGTGTAGGACCATCTACTGGAGCATGGGTAGCCTCTCAGGGCCTCTCAGGGGCCACATCTCTGAAGAAAACCGACATTCCTTCTGGTAACAACCACTGATTGCCCAGCACCTCAGCTAGGGTTGGAACTTTCATGAGCTCTTCCTGCTAACATGCTGGGATTTTGGCTGGCTTGACCTAATGCAGGTCTTATGCATGCAATCACATCTGCTGACACACACACTCTTGATTCTGGAAAATCTAAAATCAGTCTATCATATTAGGTGGATTTAGACTGGTTTATAAGTACACAATATTAATCAATTTAAGCACCATTTTACAGACAACAAAATTTTAGTTATAACTAAAATGTAATTACTTTTTGTTGCTGTTGTTTTTGGTCTTTTTGAGACAAAATCTCCCTCCAGCCCCAGCTGGCCCAGAAATCCCTATGTAGATGAAGCTGGCCTTGATCTCACAGAGATTTGCCTGCTTCCGCCTTCTGAGTGCTGGGATTAAAGGCATGTGCCACTATGCCTGATCATAATTATTTTTAAAAGAGTCTTTTCTATGGGCCATTCTTTTGAATGGCCCATTTTGAACAGCATAGAACAAGGAGACTAACTCACTCTCTAAGTAAGAACTCCTTCAGATAATACATAAATACGCCAGGTCCAGACCTTCTTTTCATTGCTGTTTCTTGTTTTGAGACAGGTTATCTCTTGTAGCCCCAGCTGACCTGGAACTTGCTCTGCAGCCCAGGCTGGTCTCAATCTCACACAGATTCACCTGCCTCTGTCTCCCAAGAGAGCTGGGATGAAAAACTGGTGTTTTATAACACCACCATGCCAGGCTCAGACCTCTTTATACTAAATGATCCCAGGCCCTGCCAATACCCCTCACTTGATACACTTTCCAAACTTCTTGCTACCACAGTTGACATTTTTGGTACACATGACACTTGCCAGTATGCCCTTCAAAACTTCTGAACTTCATCCCTGACTCTGATTAACTTGTAGTCTGATCAGCATGGCATAGAGACATGTTCCTTTCTGTGTTCCTGTCTTGACAGTACCCTTAATCTAGCAATGGTGGGTTTATTCCTTAGCTGCCTCATAATCCTACTGGCATCCATTTGGAACTGGTTTCCAACTGAGCAGAAATGTTTTAAGAGTTTAAAGTTCAAATGCTTGGATGCTTATTTCAATACATAAATGTTTACTCTATTTAAATAGAAACATATTATACATTTATGTTCTATTTAAATAGAAACATATTATACATTTAAAATATGATTTGGAAGTGAATTTTTGTGATATGAACATTAAGTCATGCCCAAAGTCATGACAATAAGTTCTGCCTGTCCTTTCAATTCAGTTCAGCAATGTTTACAGAACACCTGCTATCTCCTTGTGAGTCCTGTTGAGTTAATTTCAATTGTCTTATTTTTCAGTCTTAATATTTCTATTTGATTCATTCTAATTCCTTCTGAGTCTATCCTGAGACTTTCTACTTTTTTGTTAGCTTCAGGACAGACGCCGGTTGTGGTGACATGTGCCTATAGTCTGAGCACTTAAGGAAGCTGAGGCAGGAGAATCATTTTGATCTCAGGAGTTCAAGACCAACCTGGGTAATAAACTAAGATACTATCTCAAAATGTAAATAAAAACAAGAGTATTTGTAATTATTCATGAAAGTGTTTCTGTGAGTTCCTCCTTAAGATCTTTGTCAGATAATTTAAAATAGCGGGCATCCTGATGTTAACTTCTATTGATTACCTTTTTTCACTAAAAGTGACATTTTGTCCTTCTTTATATGGTCAGTGACTTTCAAATGAAATCCAAGATCTTTGAACTGGAACTGTTATAAAACTTGATAATTTAATATCAGTAGTTCTGGATCAGGGGAAAGAGAGAGACACCAACTTTCCAGCTGTGGCTTTCCCACTGGTCTCTACTAACATCCAACAGGAAAAAGTGTTTGTTGTTACTCCTGTAATGGGTGCAGTCCCAGCTCATCAGTTGGCATTCGTGCCACAGTGGTTTACGGGGCAAGAGTGCCTAGCGCGTGCTTTCCAAGTGTCCTCCACTGAAAACATGCATTATTGCACTATGACTCAGCCTCACTACTACTGGGCAATAACGGAAGTCTAGTCTCTACACAGCCTCCACTGATGGAAACCCTGCTCTCTTAACACTACCTGATGGGGTTGTTTGGGTACCTCATAAGAGCTAAGCAGTGGGGGAGGTCAGGGCTCTACTTAGTCAGGCTCGCCTCAGTGTCAGGAGCTTGGAGAAGAGTGTTTTCTGTGCATTTGCCTGAAAGAGTGGTTATTATCTGACAGTTTTCTACCTTGCAAGGCTGACCCCTTTGCCCCTTCCTCCTCCTTCGGCCGGAGAGTAGGCTTTCATGTGTTCCCACTGCATAATTGCATTGCCAGTTTTTTTAGCTTTGAGTCTCCGATATATGAGGTGAAAAGAAACCTCAGGTCACAATCATATCATTCCTAAGTCTCCAGGGCAGTCTTCTCTCCACCTTTCAGAATCATATATCTGTTTTATTAATTTATTGTTATTATTATTTTGGTCTTTTCTGAGACAGGGTCTCCCTGTAGCCTCAGCTGGCCTGGAACTTACTACGCAGACCAGGCTGACCTTGAAGAGATCAGCTTGTCTCTGCCTCCTGAGTGCTGGGATTAAAGGAATGTGCCACCACGCCTGGCCTCATATATTTGTTTTATATATAATATCCAGAGTTTAGAGTTGAATTTAGCAGGAGGGATAGGGGAAAATGTTAAGCATACTCCTCTGAAGTCTCAGTCAGGCCTGGCATGGACAGTCCTCTGATTTCAGAGATCATGAACTGAGCGTGATTGTGTCAGTCCCTATGCCTGCACAGAGCTCAGCCCCATGCTACTCAGTACACAGCGGTGGTGAGGTAAACACCTGGTAGGGGCAATGATGGCAGACTGTGCTGCTCTGAGGCATGGATCCTCACTGCCTTCAGAGTCATATCAGAAGAGTCTGTAACTCAGATTACTTGCTATTCTGCTGCAGTTTTCAAAGTTGGCAGAATAACTGACCCAATGTGCCAAAGAGACCATGAAATTCCGAGACTCTGCCACCGCCCCAGCCCTGAAGAGGATATTTTGTTAAGGGGACAATGTGGTTTACATTCTGTATAGCTGATGAGACCAACCTGCCAATCTTGCCAGAGGTGACTGCACTCAGGATGTGAGCCCTGCAGCCTATACAGGTGGAAGGGCAGGTGCCACTGAGGGACTGGGACAAATTTACCAATTCCTAAGCATCAAATGCCAACTATGGCCAACCAAAGCTTCTCCTTAGGGAATATCAAATCCTAGACTGCTATCCCCAATAACAACAGATGGTTTCTGTGACTTGCTGCGTTTATTTCTACTCAAGCTGGATGTGAAGCTAAGAAACAGAAAGAACCAAGTACCAGCTTATGTTTCTTCCCACCCCGGAATGCACCTCCGTCATCAGAGATAACTCAGAGAAGACTTCTTTGCAATTCTAAAGACTGTAATGAATATATCAGTTCATTAAAAAGAAAGAACAAAGAAGAAAAACAATATGAAGCAACCATTTTCCTTTGTTGGCATTCCCGAGTTGGAATACAGAGAGACCAGGTTTCAGCCTCTAAGTTAACTTCACAGGAATCAACAGTGGCAGAGTCTACATAAGTCAGGAAACTTTAATTTTAGTAGATATATCATTATTCATATAGCATATCCTGAGATGGAAGGAAACCCATAACGCTATGTCCACCTATTTTCCTTTCCTGAAAAAAATCCCATTAAATCCAGCGTTCTTTAAGGTC